TTTTTTTCCGTGTGATGTGTACTGTACAGAATTGTACTTAAAATGGGGGAAAAAAAAAAAAAAAAAAAAAAAAGAACCCCCCCCCCCCCCCCCCCCCCCGCACTTTGGAAAACACCGATTAGGGTGACATTCCTATTAAGGGAACACATTTTCGGCAATGAAGCAAGGAAATATATGATATATACATTATGGACATTGTTCCGGGAACATTACCATGGAAACTGCAGCCGGATGGCGTCCCTTCAGTGGTTTACGTATTTTTAATTATCTGTAGGTCTACCACTGTTTATGCGTAAATGATTGTTCGTCTTGACTTGAATAGCTTTTCATTAAGTCGTTATAGGTTAACTTTATCACTTCCTGATTGCATTACTACGTTGTAGTACTTAATTGTTATCCTTTGTGAACTTCGACCCAATAGGTACGACTTTCACTGAATCCTCGTTACTGATTGGATCAATGTTCGCTCGAGCTTCCGAATCTTTACTGGACTCGGGTTTAGCACAATTTGGCAGTGTTTCGTCTGCACAAGGCACGGTGGATTCAAGGAGTTTAGATTCTTTCTTTATTTTGTGTAATGGAGTCGCCTCATGTTCAACTTTATTGTCCATTTTTGTAAAATGCTTATTGCAATATTCACAGTAGAGTTGGTTGCCTTGTTGTAGATCGCTATAAACTTGACAGGCGTTTTGGTGCTGTTTGCCACTGATGTGATCCTGTCGCTGGATTTCGCTACTGTATACAACATTGCAAATTTTACAGCCTACATCGGATGCTTGTTCTGTGCTGGCAGTGTCCACACGATGCAAGTTTTCGGCCATTTTTACCTTCTTTTCATGCTTCTGGCCTCTGTAGTGTTGACTGGCGTGTGCCTCTGATGTAAACGTTAGCTTACATACTTTACAAGGAGGGATAGCCATTATCATGGTCTGAAAAAAAGCAAAAATTGATATGTGTTGAAATGATCATAATAACAACTTTATTTTAAAAATGGAAACAAATTTGTATCACCATAATTTGCCAAAATCAAATGTGTACTTTATTTTGAAGCAAAAGACATAAAAATAGGTTAAGGGAAAAATCAAAATAAACATTTTATTTAATTACTTTAAACGTTTCGGAATGTTGGTAGCCCCGATTAAAAATTAGAACGAATATTTTCTTTAGTACCTTTCTATATATTATAAACCACCTTAAAAATTGTGGAAATATTATACGGCCTATTTATTAATTTTAAATATGTATTTAAATAATATTTTTATGTGGTTGGTACTTCCAAAGCAGGTCAGTTGGGTCAATACATACATAATAAGACAATACTAAATAGGTCTAATTTTAAGATGATTCGATTAAACAATTAGAACAAAATAAAAGAAAACAAAAATTTAAAGTAATATTATATAAGCATAAGTATACAGTATTAACAAATAATAAATAAAAAACCTTTAAACAAATAAATACTTGATAAATATACATGTTTATAATTTACTGCCAAAATATAATAATGATCACATTCAATAAAATATTTATACATGTAAATATAAATGAAATACATTATCATTATTTAATATATGTCATAAATTAATCATATATATAATACCATTCTTTTTTTATATCAATTTATCATTTCACATTAAATACAATTTCTGATATCAGACTTTTTCAATATATAATGGAATATAATAAATAGTAATTTTTTACACAAGTATAATGTTATTGTACTGTTTCAAATTTAGTTTTAGACCTAATTTTAAGATGATTCGATTAAACAGTTACATATAATAAAACAAAAATGTAAGGTAATAATTTAAATATGCATATAAGTATACAATATAGATAAATTACAAAAATAATAAACATAACATCTTTTAACAAATAAATTAATAAACATACATGTTTATAATTTACTACCAAATGATAATGATCATATTAAATAAAATATTTATACATGTGAATATAAATGAAATACATTATCATTAGGCCTATTTAATATTTGTCTTAAATTAATTTTATAGGCCTATACATACCAAATTAGATATTCTCGAATCATTGAAATTTATAAAAAGAAGATAATGTAAAATTATATATACGTCAATAAGTTTTTACACAAGTACAGTATAGCCTAATGTACTCTTTTAGAATGAGTTAGTTCTTATTGAAAATTTCAGGGAGTAGTACTATAAATACTTCTTATTCTAGCGAGCGAGGACATTATTAGAATCGCTGTCAAAATCCTAGTCTACATGTTCAGTGTTCAGTTAAATGAAATCGTAACATAAAAGCAGGTTGTCGTGAGGTCACGATGTTTGCTATGATGGGTGGAGTAGTCGTATACTCTTTGCAGTATCTTATAGTATTTTATTTGACAAAAACCTTAATATGGTCATGATGACATAGTAGAAGCGGTTGGCGCATCGGTTGTGGCTTGGACTACCAACCTCAGGGTCGGGAAATCGCAAATCGCTTGTGTCCTTGGGAAAGGCACTTTATCTACGGTTGCCTCTCTCCAACCAAGAGTACTGTACAAGTGGGTACCTGGTAGGTTTCAACACAAATGCGCTGATTACTAGCTGCAATGTTATGGAATAATGATATAATTTAATTTAATAATTTAATTTGGTGTTCAGTATGTGTTCCATATGTGTTTGATCCAATGACCAGGGTAGTAATGTGAAGCGCTTAGTTGTTCTTAGTTGTTGTTCTTAGTTGCTGCTAAACTTTCATTTATGCATGAACCAATATAACATCGGTATTTACCTAGACGTCTCGATCACAATCGGCGATCTTTTTCAATGCACTGTGTTGTTACTTCAGTCTGTTATTTTGTATAGGGTGTTTATATAGGAACCAGATGAAATTTTTCCATTGACATAAGCGTAATATTGATAATAATGTTATGATGAGGCGGAAGCATACCATACTTATTGTGATATTAGGACTAGGCCTGCATATCTTGATTTTTTTTACATGGAATGGGATGAGCATTTCATCGTAGTCGCAGGCAGCTCAACAAGTGACGTGTTTGGGCTTAGCTTTCGTACTGCCCAATGGGTAAATGACGTAATACCCTAGTGATAGCCTATATTGAGATGATTTTGACAGACTTGGAAAGAATCAGTGTATTCTTTCTTCTACCCATTGTTATGATTGTATAGGTCTGTGGACTGTAAACCCCGGTAACTAAATACAATTTCAAAATGTGCTAACAATAGGGCGTTTTCTTGTATTTCGCTAAACTTTTTATGTTGTATTTATTTGATGTTGTAATTGTGGATATCTTATCTCATTTTATGCTTATCTCTTATACACATCTAGATGTGTATAAGAGACAGGATATATATACATTTATATATATGTATATATGATGATTTATGATGATTCGATTAAACAATTAGAACGAAATATATAATTGTATATATGATATATATAGGACTATATAGGCCTATATTTGACAAGCAATTAGGTTCCCCTTGTAGATCATACAATTTTGTTATCTTATAAATTTACCGATGTGTTATAGATTTTAATTTGAAATAAATGATTGACTGATTGATTCATATTATTATATATAAACCTACATATTACATACATATATTATATTGTCTATATAAACTGATATATTGCATACATATTGTATATCATATTGTTTTTATATAAACCTATATATTACACACATATTATATATCATTGTTTATAAATAAACCTCATACATATTATGTATTCTATTGTTTATATATAAACCTACATATTACATATATATTATATTGTTTATGTTAACCTATAGGCCTATATCACATACATATTAAATATTATTTATATATATTACCTGATCATTGCATACATATTATATATATTATATGTATACGTATATATATATATATATGTATATATATATAATCAACCTATTGTATATAGTAAGTCTATATAATCATAACTAAAAAATATATAAAAAACCGAAAGGTCCACTGATTAATCTCAGATAAGAAAGATTAAGATAAGAAATATTGAATCCCAACACGATGGTGTGTATTTCAATACTTGGAGTATGTATTGTACTTTCTTAAAAAATATATTTTATCTGCAATTCTGTTTCTGCTAACAGTTGTTCACATTGATTTTAATAAAATGAATTATTATTAAATAGCACTCGAAATGTACATTACTACGCTTAATGTCAACAGTCAGCTTGTTATATAGTAAATTGTTTCTATAACAAACAATACACAACATTTTAAGCCTACTACTATGTAATATTTTTTTATGTTTTTTTTTTTCATTTTATAAAGGGCCCATATTATCTTATAGCATAAACTATAAATTAATATTTGGAATTCTGAGAAAGCTGACGATTTTGATTATGGTTATGAGTTTGTTTCATTAATATTATAATATTATTACATAATTGTTTATTTTATTAATCTTATAATATTAATAGGGAATTAGGGAAACCCCAAACCAATTTATAGGCCTAAATAATATATTTAAACTAAAACAGTGTTAAAATTAAAAACTGTAAGTCTATAGATAAATATTTCTTTTAGAAGCAAAATAATTATGTTATGCTTCGGTAGGGAACAAAAGATCGTTAAACATACTTAACATGATCGTGATCGTTCGTATTCAATTGTTCGTAGGCTGTCCGATCAGCCTCGACCCGCGTAAAACCACCAATTTCCTGTAGCCGTCATCGGAGGATTTCCGCGTATGGCTAGTTTATAACAACGCCAACAGCATTATTTCTTGTCTACTAAACATTATTGAATGTAAAATTGATGAAATTCACATCTAGGCCTACCTTCACTCCACATATTTTCTAAAAGGAGAATTTTCTTCTCTAGCACGTGATAATGGCAGACGCGATGTGTGAAAACGCGCTTGACTTCGTTATCAAGCATGTTTGGAAGACTCAAAAAAGAAAAAAAATTCATAACAACTAGGCTACTAGTCTGACGTACCGAAGCAGACAAAAAGAATATCTTGCCATTTTTTGTGTAAATTACAAATTACTAGCAACAACGTAATCACACCAATAAAAATATACATTCAATGTTTGAAATTTGATGAACGAATAAGCATAACTTTTTAATTTTTAATGATTCAAATTGAATTCTTAAAATGCCAAATCAATAATTGTTAGATCCGCGTAGAGCAACTTTTCGATGCCTAACAAACAAACTCGTTACAACAAAATGAGAATGGATATGCTGGTAAAATAATTCTTGATCAGCATTCAGCATAATTCATATGTATGCAGCTATTTTTTTTTTAAGTTTAAGTCTCGTAGCCAAATAAAAAAAATGTATATGTCCTATAGACCTAGTTTATCCCGAAAACAAATTAATTTTGATCGACATAGGACATTACTTTAATTAACAAAAAGCCAATCTGGGCCTATAGAAAATCTATCTTACAAAGAATTCAAGTTTATTAATTAAATCTAAACACTTAAATTCGTCAAAAATTAGCAAAGTAGTTTTAACGGTTTATCGTATGGTCTATTTTAGTCCGTTTCTGTCGCGGGAAGGAACGCTCGCTAAACCGCAAGCGTGACCAGGTGAACATAAACTCATCGCTAGAATCGTAACTTTAAAACTCTGATTTGTGAAGCCATATAAAAGTAATAAATTCTAATAGATATGTAAATATTATAAATAATAATATTAATGACACTCTAGTAATAGTAAATATTATTTTGTTGCAATTTAAAAAAAAATTAATTATTAACATATCAAGTCTGATAGTCATGGTAACGCACTCCAGCAGGCGACAGCAATGGACAACCTCACGTTTGGTTGCTTCAAAAGGTAAAATATTTTGTAGAGTCTGTTGTATGAAAAATTATAGATTTGAGGCAAGTTTAAATAATGAAATACTTTGTGATATAAAGCCAATGAATTCATGTTAACCCGGCGGAGACATTTTCTTGAGT